GCCGCCTCAGAATCTTACTGCTCATATAAATGCTGATTGTGTGTTTTTGTCAGGTACAGGTGAACCCTCAGGTGGGTGTAATTCCTGTGTCCGGCCTGCAGGGGCAGAATTGCTTAGACTGTGACTGTTTGTGTTCCAGGAGATCGGCACAGGAGGAACCTGTCAGTGGAAGGTCTGCGGACTGGATCCGAGTACCACGCTGGCGCTTTACTTTGAGGTCGTCAACCAGGTATAAACACCTGACCTCTGACCTTTGATTCTGTCACCGTCACCATGAAGCTACTGAATTATTGATATCCACCAATTAAAAGAAAGTTCAGTGATCTGCAGTGATGTCATGGTACAGGATGATGTCATAGATCCTGCTGTTGAGAAAATAAGAGCTCAAGCTGACAAAATAAAAGCCCCACTGATGTTTTGATAGTAAAATGTTGGTGTTTAAAACAACAATTAGACCAGTGATCATCTGTTTGTAGTTTATTTTTTTAGTTTTTATTTATTCGCTCTAATTATTTTAAAAGTAATATCATTTTATTTTTGCTGTTTAGCGGGACAGCTTTCAAAATGAAAACGGCAAAAAACTAAAGCAGCCAAACTGACAGTCTTTCTAAGAGGATGCTCAGTCATAATAAGCAGGAAATGAGTTTGAATTTGAAGTGCACACATCAGGGCGGAGATGCTGACTTCCAGGCTCCGCCAAGTTTGTCCATCATCCTCGATCCTGCTGGGCTGCACAAGCCGCTCGTCACTTCCAGAGTCTCCGGCTGTTTCTCAGCTCTGTTCACGTGCAGCACGGCGTCCAGCTCAGAGTTTAAACGCTCAGTGTAACTGAGCCCATGGAACAGTTTGACCTTCGTCCTCCGTCTACTCTGTGCTGATGTGGTCTCGTCAGCATAAACACACCTCTGCTGAAATGGAGCTGAAAGAGCTCGGACTGTTTGTGACTCTGAGTGGATCAGGAAATGTTTCGTGTTGTGAGACTGCGGGAGATCATCAGCTGAACATCAGTGTGCGGTCTTCGAACACAACGTCACGTCAGAACTCGTCCACGCTGAAGAAGAAGATGAGAAGTATGGCCTACATTTCCCAGAGTGCACAGGTCCAGTGATGGTGATGGGAGGGTCATGGTCTTGTTAGTGTTTTGGGAGAAGATGGAGGCTGTGTTGCGGTCATACTTGTTGTTGTTGTTGTGCTAGGGCGATTGGTCGCAGGTAGATGGAGGGCAGAGCTCTGGGAGTGGGACTCCAGGAACATCCCGGCACAAGGAACGAACCTGCGGAAACTTCGGCACACCGCCGCCCTGTACCTGCTGGAGTCACAGAGAGACAGACAGGAAGTGACGTTCCTGTTCACTATGACATCATGAGCGCGTCATAGTGACGTTTCATTACTGCTTCAAAACTGATCGGAGCCTTCGATAAAGAAAGTCTGACTCACGTCTGCGTCATGCAGGTGATCCACGGGTTGAGCGCGGCGCTGGTCAGAACCAGCCAGGAGGAGAGGGCGGCGGTCACGGACGGACTCTGCTGACCGCTCAGCGTCTCATACAGACACACAGAGATGTAGGGCAGCCAGCAGACCAGCAAACACACTGCCAGGAGACAGGAAACAGAGTCACATGACTTCATCAGCAGCCCCTCTATGAGTGAGCTGGTGTTTGGAGACTAGTTATCTGTGGACTAGTTAAAGAGGCGTAGGGACTAGAGAACGGCCTTGAAGTTGCAGATCTGTCTACCAATCTGAAGGTGGGCGGTTCAATCCCTGGCCGCTCCAGGCTGGAGACACTCTCTGCATGAACAGGTGGACATGGCGTGTAGAGTGGATGAGTGCTGTGTTAGAGCCAGTAGCCATTCACTCGTAGCGCTCTCATTGACCTTATGGCGAAAACATTAACCTGGTTTATCGGTCACTCAGACCGTCTGCAGCCGGCTGTGGTGACCTTTGACCCTGTCTGTGTTTATGACCTCAGTGTTTGTCCCTATAATGAGAGTAATGGCAGTGAGTCACAAAGATAAACATGGACGCTGATCCTCAAAGACGGCCGCTATGACGTCGAGGTTTTATTTTAGAGGGTAAACGGCTGCGGCCCCGTGGTCACATGGTCCTGCTGTTTGGTTTGAGATTATGAGGACATTGGATCTGCTCGGCTTTACAAACGGGGAAATGTTTTCTGTCGAAGGAACAAAATAATTTCATGCATCAGACTTAATCAGCAGAAATCCAATACACTGTTTCCCGTTAGGCAGGATGTTCAGTCCCAGTGGAGAAATACTGGAACTCCATATGAAATCACTGGTAATTACTGGGACTGTTGCACCAATTAAAGAATCTAGAGGACAAGTTTCAGACTACTTACTGAAGTTTAAGAGACTGCAGAGATTTTTTGACTAGCTGTAGATTTTGAGCGTTTAACAGGAGTTGGAGATTAGTTAGTAACATCTGTGTACTGAAATTTGTTTACTAGCCTGAGCATTACTTTCACACAGCTGTAAGTTTGTAGCTGATTTGAGGAGTTGTGGAGATGTTTGTGGGCTAGTTACAGAGGTTGGAAACTAGTCGTCGGACCTCTGTGTGGGGGAAACTTGGAGTAAAACTCAGAGGACGAAGTTTTCACAAAGAACGTGAGTCGGTGAAGTGGAGGTGTAACCCGTGTCCCTGCAACGTCAAGGAACAGCTTGAGCTCACCTGAGGTGGTGACCATGACGATGGAGCTCCTCAGGTAGTTGTTGGCAGGAACGTAGAAACAGTGCAGCTCGTTGCACATGAAGGTTCCTCTCCTGGCCTGCTTCCTGGCCACGTACACGATGTATCCGTACAGCGAGCACATGGTGAGGATCGGCGCTACGATGCCCGCCCCCATCCACAGCAGCACGAAGTACCTGTTCTCCGGGGTGAAGCTCGGGCAGCAGAGGAATCGTGACTCGCTGTAGGCGTAGCTGCCGAAACCCAGCAGTGGCATGGTGGCGTTGGCCAGGCAGAACAGCCAGACTGCGATCAGCACCGCCCGGCTCCGCCCCGCCGTCCAGATGCTGTGGAAGCTGAGTGCAAAGCAGATCTCCGTGAACTTGTAGATGGTAGCCCAGGCAAGCGAGTGCAGGGAGGCGGTCTGCAGTAGGAGGAAGATGAAGCCGCCGCCCTGACAGACGTCGGCCTCACTGGAGTGTCTGACAGGCTGGGAGAGGCTGTTGTACGCACTGAAGGGGATGGCGGAGAGTCCGAGAGCGAGGTCGCTAAGGCTAAAGCTCAGGGTGAGGCCCAGCGTGTCGGACCGCAGCTCCTTGTTCAGCAGGAGCACCAGTAGGAGGAGGAGGTTCCCACAGGTGGATGCCACGCTCGTCAGCAGCATGAGAGCGGCGTACAGCGTGCTCAAAATGTCCGCCATCTTCACATGGACTCGCAGGACAGGAACGTGCACCGTGCCGAAGTGATCCAATCACCTGCAGGCTCTCTGATCAGCTGATCGATCAGCTGTTGGTTTCTTCTGAAACGAGGAGCAGAGGACAAGCAGCTTCAGCAGGCTGTCGCAGCAGCTGAGAGCCCGCCGTCACCAAGGAGACTGCTGGGATTACCTGAGGCTCTGTGAGTCACACCTGAGCTGCAGTTGAAAACAGAGAGAGCGCCTTTCAAGGACGTTTCCACCAATCAAAAACAAGAGTCAAGACCAGAAGAAGAGTCCACCTGAACCTGCAGCTGACCGGACCAATCGGGAGGAAGAACCATGCCGTCACCTTCATCGATTGATTATCAACGCGGTCTGTGGTCTTCAGAGGTTAAAGGTCACACTGATGTTGGCTGGAGTTGATCAGTCGGTGTGTGTGAGTCTGATCGCAGTCCAACGAGTCTGATCGGCTCAGTCTGAGCGGGGGAGGGTGGACCGCAGGGGGCGTGTTCTCCTGGGGGTGTGTTGCCATGGCGCACCTGTTTGACACCTGCTGTGACGATGATGAGCACACACACACACACACTTACCTGCTGGCTGTAAAGTAAACAAGATGAACATCCAATATCAGTGTGTGTGTGTGTGTGTGTGTGTGTGTGTGTGTGTGTGTGTGTGTGTGTGTGTGTGTGTGTGTGTGTGTGTGTCAGTCACGCAGCTTGACTCAGGTAATAACAGGTGTGCAGGTGTGTAATCACCCTCACCACCTGCTGAACCTCAGACCGCTGAGAAGCTCAGGCCGGGGTTGGGTGTGAAGCAGCCAATCACAGCTCAGCTTTGTTAAAGAAAGTGACCTCTGAGTCACGTCTGGAGGCAGAAAACGAGCGTCAAACAGAAACACACCTGAGCAGGTGCTACGGAAATAAACAGTCCAAGGGGTCGTGACCCTGACAGCGAGGTCTCAGGGGCGGGATAAATGCTGGAGGCGGGGTTAACGTTCTATGATGTTGATACCTGATTAACCTGACCTCTGACCTCTAACTTGCCTGTTTGCGGTCACTTCCTGCAGCACAACGCACCGATCCCTCAGGGCGGCCGCGGGGCGATCCAGTTTGTCACGCAGTACCAGCACTCGTCAGGCCAGCGACGCATCCGGGTCACCACCACCGCCAGGAAGTACGAACACACCTGCCTCCACCCCATCACTACACACACACACACACACACACACCTGAATTAATCCCGGTCCCTTCTCTTCCCCTCAGCTGGGCTGATGCTCAGACGCAGATTCAAAGCATCGCGGCGTCCTTTGACCAGGAGGCGGCGGCCATCCTCATGGCGAGGTTGGCAGTGTACCGGGCAGAGACGGAGGAGGGGCCGGACGTGCTCAGGTGGTTAGACAGACAGCTGATCAGACTGGTAGGAGAACACACCTGCAGAGTGAGCGCCACGATTGATCCGAACAGGAAGCAATTGATACCTGTGTTTGTGTTCAGTGTCAGAAGTTTGGCGATTACCACAAAGACGACCCGAACTCCTTCCGGTTCTCCGAGACCTTCTCCCTGTATCCCCAGGTGACCCGACTCCCGTAACGCTCTGCGCAGACACACCTGTGACACGCACCGGGACACAGGGCTGACGTGTGTTTGTGTGTTTCAGTTCATGTTCCACCTGCGGCGTTCGCCGTTCCTGCAGGTGTTCAACAACAGTCCTGACGAGAGCTCGTATTACCGACACCACTTCAACCGGCAGGACCTGACGCAGGCGCTCATCATGATCCAGCCGGTGCTCTACGCCTACTCCTTCAACGGCCCGCCTGAGGTACCTGTACACCTGTGTGCACACAGTGCAGAGTAAGCAGCTGGATGTGCAGGTGTTTCATGTTTCAGAATCTGAAGCTCTCATTGGGAAACAAACTGTGAGTTATTGATCACTGATCGATTAACTGATCAGACTGTGTGTGTGTTTCTAGCCCGTCCTGTTGGACAGCAGCAGCATCCTGCCCGACCGAATCCTTCTGATGGACACGTTCTTCCAGATCCTCATCTACCACGGAGAGGTACACCCGACACCACCAATCACACCCCAGCACCGCGTGACATCACAGCTGTCTAAGCCAATCAGTGTCCAGTAATTTAATTAGGATAGAGCCACAATTATCATTCAGATGGTTTCTTTAAACGTGATCCAGCTGTTTCCATCACAGATGTGACGCTGAGCTGAGTTCCCACCTGATTTCAGTCCAACTCTCAAACCTGAACGTGCTTCAATCAGCTGTTTGCAGTTTTACCTGCTGAGCTCGTTCATATCCTCTCGTTAACTCAACAATTCACCTCACATGAGCTCAAAACACACAAATCTTTAAAGAACCATGATAATGAGCTGACCCGTGCAGGTGTACAGTTGTGTCTCACTGCGTCTCTCTGTTAGACTGTGGCTCAGTGGAGGAAGGCCGGCTATCAGGACATGCCCGAGTACGAGAACTTCAAACACCTGCTTCAGGCTCCGGTGGACGACGCCCAGGAGCTGTTGCACACGCGCTTCCCCATGCCGAGATACATCGACACGGAGCACGGCGGCAGCCAGGTGAGGGCGCAGGCACACACCTGAGAAACACATCAGCTTTATTTACATCACCTCAGATCACGAGACGTGACATCAGCACAGCGGCAATGTGACATCATCAACAATTTCCCGGTGCAAACTCTCCTTTTTGCACCTGTGCCCACACCTATACACACCTGTAGACATGATCAGCAGGTGAAAGGTTTTCTTCTTCTGCTGTTTTCAGGCTCGCTTCCTGCTCTCCAAAGTGAACCCCTCCCAGACCCACAACAACATGTACACCTGGGGGCAGGTAAGACTTTAACCTGTAATCTTTAACCTTTAAATGTGGACCAATCAGACGCTGTGTTTACACAAGTCCCCCCCCCCCCCCACCGCAGGAGTCCGGTGCTCCAATCCTGACAGACGACGTCAGCCTGCAGGTGTTCATGGACCACCTGAAGAAGCTCGCTGTCTCCAGCGCCGCCTGAGTGTGCCATCGGCTCACCTGTCCTCATCTGTTTGCTTTTTATTTGTTTTCTTGCTGCCTATGTTTCCATGGCAACAGTTCACAAGCACCATCAACCAATCAGCAGCAGGTTTAGAGTTGTAACCTCACAGTGTAGAGATGCTATTGTTAATTGGCCTTTTTTTTAAAAATTAAGTAGCATTTGATTGGTTGATCCTCTCAGACAGCGACAGTGATAGCTTTCAAAATAAAAGCCACTGTGTAGTTTTAGTCTGTGAAGCTTTTATTGTGAAACAACAGCAGGAAGTGGTGGCCGTCGGGAGTTTTTCCCCCCTAAAAGGTTTCAAATTGATTTTAAAATTTTAACATGTGATTTTTTTTTAAATTTAGGAACAGGAAACAGGAAGTGAGGTGTTTTGTTTTTTTTAGAAAGCATGTGATGTCACTGAGCGCGCGAAGCTGTCTGCTTGTGTTTGAACACTAACCGAGAACGAGCGCAGAGGTTCACCTTGCCACTGTTCTCGTCTTTCTAATAAAATCTGCAGAATTTTACAGAGTTTGTCTTCTTCTGAAACGTGAAGCTCTGATGTCATCAGAGACGCAGCACCTATGCATGTGTGACTGAGCCCAGTGTTTTATAAAGCACTGTCTGACACCCTGCAGACGGTCTGTTTGTAACTGTAATCGGCTGTAGACAAGATGATCACAGGACTGCGGTCGCCTCCACCTCTGCTCAGACACCATCAGTCATCCCAGCAAATAGCACCACCCCATATTTAAAAATCCACTTTAGGGTCACACTTTTCCTTTAAAGTGTGAAAAGGAAAAGAAACCTAACAGACCCTCGAGGAGCTTCTGCTGTCAGTCGAACAGAGTCCGACTTTTACCCTGAATTAACCTGAGTGACCCGCCTCACCATCTGAGCATTCCCACTCACACAGGTAAAAACAATAAGCCAAGCTGTGGGGTCCTCAACATGTGCCACACCCACAGAAACAGACACCTCTGCTAAAACGCTGCAGGTGAGCAGGTGGAGTGGAGCTCAGCACTGTCTCAATTCAGGGGCTGCGTCCTCCTAAGGACCCGGCCTTCACAATCTACGTGGGCCGGGTCTTCCAAAGACCGAGAAGGCCGGAAGTGAGAGGCTGTGAGATGGGACGGTCTAGCCTTCAGATTTGAGCCACCAGTGGAGTTTAATAAACTCGGCCGTCTGCTCCTTGCTATCTAAAATATAACAGGACACTGGAGTAAACTCTCAGGCATCTCACACTTCTGTTTAATCAGTTTTCTGTTTGATGTTTATTCAGCTGTGTGAAAAAAAATTTGGCTGGACCGCGCTATGAATTCTGGGATAAGGTGGGCCACGAAGGACACACCTGACCCATCCTTCAAATTCTGGAAAAAGGAGGATGCATTTGGCTGTATTAGGAGGAGTCCACAGCCTTCGTCATGTTGTCGTTGTTATCGGCCTTCAAATGCATCCTCCGGAGGATGCAGCCTTGGAATTGGGACACAGCCACTGTCTGGGTCTGAGCTTCCTTTACTCAGCAGCATCCTTCTTGAAAGGAGGGGAGAGGTAAGTATAGTAAATTTGTGGTCCTCCTACCTAAACGTGGGACACACATACATACACAGAGGTCTGCTGCTGTGTTTCATAACTGAATCTGACTTCAGATCAGCGGAAAGATGAACAAATGTTTAAAATAAAATCTAAATAAAAAGTTTTTTTATTATTTGTGAAAATGAAACTTAAACTTTGATAATTGTTTACTACCGTTTTTATTCCAAAGTATCCGAGTACTCTTAATCAGGAGGCAGAGGAGGAAACTACCTGAACTATGAATCCCACCAGCAGGTGGCGGTCATGCGCAGTGAGTAGACACACAATCCACGTGTCAGTCCAAACGAAACGGCATGAGACTGGAATCACATTTATCCAGTGATGGGATACGTTTGACGTTTAGCGTGTTTGGGGTGTGTAGTTAATGTGCTGTCTTGTGTAGTTAGTGTGTAGTGTTGTGGATAGTTTTGTGTTGTGTGTCAGAACAATGAGGCGACTGCTGTCTCCAGGTAGAAACAGGAGTGATACACCTGCTGCTGTCAGACCTGCAGGTATCAGACTGTGATGTTCTCCTTTGGAGTGGCACAAATAATTTGTCTTATTAAATGCAGAACAGCTGATTGTTCTGTAAACAGTTTCAAGTGGTTATAAAAAAGGGTAAAAGGTAAATGGCTGCAAATAACTTTGTTTGCAAAACTTGTGCATAGGATTTTAAAACTGACAAATATTTGCATTTAAAGTTATGAAATATGATTCAACGAACTCTCAGATTTTATGTTTTTTGTCTGATTCTAGATCAATGTTGTTAATACAGTTTGTCAAAATGAAAACATGACTGTAAATTCAGACATGTGAGGTTGTGCTGAAAAGGATGAGACCAAACACGGCAAATAAACAGTTTTTAAAGGTGAAATGTGGAGGAAACATCAAAGTGGTTAAAATGGCCAATTATACCCTGGACCCCAGAGGGTTAAACGTTTATTTTAAGTAACACAATAGTTACTTTTCAAGTAATTAATTACTTTTAGAATCTTGTAACTCAGTTACTAACTCAGTTACTTTTTTGAAGAAGTAACTAGTAACTATAATTAATTATTTAAGTAACTTGCCCAACACTGCATTTATCCATCGACTGGAAGACTTTATTAAAGAGAGCCGAGTTTACACACAGCAGAACCCAGCAGGCTTCCTTTCACACTCCACCTGATGGAGGTGAGCACCTGGAACATATGGAGCGCCAGGACTGCCATAATGAATTAATTAAATACACCATTAAATAATTAATTAAATGTG